TATACTGCTCAGGCTTGTCTAACCAAGATGAAATTAGGAAGACACAACTTTAAGTGCCATCTCACTTTTGTCCAGAAGCTCTGGACTAACAGCCCTCTTGTACTTGAGCAGGCTGCTTATAGGATCTGTGTTCCTTCTGCATTATCCTGTTATAAGGCACATGACAAAACAAGATCTAAGAATTGTCTGAGTTTATATTAGCCACTGCTAAGCTGGTCTTAAAACTAACCCTTTTGGAAGGCCAGTGCTTAATGTAGACAAATAATACCCCTGGCTGTCAGCATGGTGATTCCAGTAAGGTTTATTAGCTCTGTTGCTGATTTAGAGAGAGGATGGCTCATGACCACTGTGCAGATCTAATCTTTCCAAATCAGAGAGTTAGCTATAATCAGCTGTATTTGTTTGACCTGAGCTAGGTGAAAGCATTGGAGAAAATAGTTCTGGTGGTAATTTAGGGAAAAGAGTGGAAAAATCTATAAGGCACCTGAATACTGTCTGAAAAACTTGCACTAACACATCTAGTATAATCAATATTCCAGTTGCTGAAAAACATCTTGAATGTTGGCAGGTGTGGTGTTTTCCTTTTGCAAAGAAGTGTCTTTTCTGCCTTTGAATTCAGAACTATTTAGTAAAGCAAGAAGGTGGAAATTACAGGTCTAAAGATTTATTCTTGACTTGCAGAAAAATGGGCTGACAGGAATCTCATAAAGGTCAACAAAAACAAATGCAGCATCCTGCTTCTGGAATGGAGTGATTCCATAGTAGTGTGTGTAGGGACAGTGGTGTCCTCCTAAGCAGTTTTGCAGAAAAGGACCTGGGCAGGGGCAGATGGTCCTTGCAGACAATGAGTTGAGCCCAGTTGAGCAGTGTGCCCTTCTGATAAGGAACACTGACAGTACTCGGGGCTCCTTGAGCAAGTGTGGAGCCAACAGGCTGAGGGAAGGGACTGTTCCCCCTGTACAGCACTCAGTGAGCCCAACTTGGCAGCAGTGTGTCCAGCTTTGGGCTCCCTGGGGCAAGGCAGGCATGGACACTGTGGAGTGAGTCCAGTGGAGAGTCACCAAGATGACAAAGGGGCTGGAGCACAGGATAAAGGAGGGAAGGCAGAGAGAGCTGGGCTTGTTCAGCTGAAGAAGAGATCCATGAAGGGCAGTCGTACTGCAGGGTGCAACTACCAAAGGGGAGAGTATGGGGAAGGCAGGGCCAGGCTCTGCTTGGAGGTGCACAGTGAGAGGACAGGAGACACAAGCTGCCACCAGGGAAACTGCAGCTATTTGTTAGGGGAAGAAAAACTTCACCACCTTGAGGGTGGTCACACACAGAAATGGGGCCTGGAGGAGCTGTGGAATCCCCGTTGTTGGAGGTATTCAAATATCAACCCTGAGCAACCAGATCTGTGTTGGCCCTGTTCCAAGAAGCAGCTTTGGTACCAGATGATCTCCAAAGGGTCTGGGAATAAGAGGATGGCAGTATTATGTAACATGCCCTGCCTTTTCACCTGACCTTGTTCTGGCCTGCAGCTAGTATAGATTCACTATTCCAATTTTAGCTCTGAACTAAGTTTTAGACAGCTGGGCTAAAAGGAAAAAAATATTCCCTCACACAGTTTTCTTGAAGGATTGTCATTCTTTGAGGAGTGTAATGACATCTCCTGATTTGTAAATTATTTTTAAAAGCATCATCAGTATTTTGTTTCTATTTTAAAGATTGTTATTCTTAGAACGAAGCTAGCATTTTTCAAAACCAGTATCAGGTGTAATGAGGTAGCATTTCAAGAAAAAAGCACATCTTCAGATACAAAATTTGTCAACTGTTCACCAAGTATATGACAGGGTTAGGGGAAAGCAGTGCATTTCTCCCCAATAATACTTTCACTAGTTCAGATCTACATGTGGGTGAAATAAACTTTCAAAGCGGTAGGAATACTTTTTTTCAAGGCCTCTGTAGTCAGGCTTAGACTAAATGAACACCTAACCTCCCATTCAAGAGGAATAATGTAGCATTAAAGTGTTATCAGAATTTGTCATTGTTTCTGTTTTAAATGTATTGAGTGTGAAGTCAGAGGTACAGTGCTTATAGTGATCTGTGCTAGTAGGAACCTTCTGGGACCTCAATCCTACAAAGTGTTCACACTACACTTATTCCGTGAAAAGCATTAAATGGTTCCCTGGTGATATTTTTAAATTCTGGACATAATTATCACTTTAGCTTAAATTTCCTCTGGCTAAGGAAAATAATCTAATACAAGCTTAGGAATTGCTTCATAAAACTTTGAGGCGAAAGACACTGAAAGCAGTATTGTCCAAAGAATGGCAGACTTAGTACTTAGAGTTCAGGGAAGGCTGTAAAGCAGCATTTCTGAGGAATTGTCTAGCTGTAGGAATATACTAAAATGAAATTTTAAGTCAGTATCAAATGTAACAAAAAAGGAGGCTTAGCCACTCGTTAAAGGAAAAAAAACCAAACAACCAAAACAGGGGCATCCTGTGAATACTTTCCAGTTTTATTCTGCTGCCATAACATAGTCACACAGAAGAATTGTAACAGATCATGCTCTGCATTCAAATCTTTTTTTTTTAATAACATTTAAACAAATCTCTCAAAGAAAACATTCCCCAGTTCTTTATTTGAGGGAATAAATTAAACACAAAACACATACATGCTTGAAATAAATTTTAACATAGATATGAAAAAAAATTCTGGGCAACATTAAAGAATGAAGTCTCAGAACCAGCCTGATGTTCTTATATATTTCAAGTGAATGTAAATTAAAATGGAACATATTTTATTTACTCCTCAAAATTAAGTGCGGCACAACACAGTTTAAGTGCCCTGGCACCAAAACAATACACAAATAATTAATAGACTAGGCCATTGATTAAATTTATCATTTGTTATCTGTTTTTGTAATGCTGTAAGTGTGCATCATCTAAAGCCAAATATGACAGTATTTGTTCATGTCCATGTCCATCTCTCTTCTCTAGGATATAGCATTTATCTACCTGCAAAGTTGCAGGTAGATTGAAAACCCCAAATACGAATTAACAGGATGACACATTCACACAAACTTTGGACTGCAGAAAAGGATGCTGAGTTAAACTTTCCAGACCATTCCTACCTGAAATGTGACATGTTTATATGTTAATAAGCTGACTGAAGTTTTGAACAAGGTCAGCTGAAGCAGCCATGGAATATAATGTTTTGGGCTTGTAGTAATAAGTTTTTTTCCCACCACCAGAAGTTCCTCTGCTAATAATTTGTCATATATGGTAAAGAGGGAAAGAAACTTGGAACTCAAAACATACATAGCTCTCAATCTTTCCTAGTTATGCCATAAGGTGGCCCAGAATATATGAAACTAACAAAGTGCAAATGACTGCCAAAGGAAAAATTTGATGTCTGATTATCTTTTATCATCAAAGGGCTTTGTCTTGCTTCTTATAGCCTTTAAATTATAATTTAATACTTGGAAATGCTTTAAAACTGTACATGCTAGCATTTATGTAGAGGAAAATTAACGAAAAAATTCACTCTTCCTAGTAATTCATATAACCAAGCTTTAAGAAGCAGAACAGAATATATATCTGAAAAACATCTAGTTACATAAACATCTTCACCTTGTAAATTAGAGATTAAATAAAGGGGTTTTAACAATATCATAGCTACTCTAAACCCAAAACTATGTATTTGAAAAGAAGAATTGCATTTATTCAGTAGAACCCTGGTGGTGATCAAAGCCAGGTTGGGTAAGGCCCTGAGCAACCCGGTCATGTCAGAAGTGTCCCTGCCCATGGCAGGGTGGGTTGGGACTAGATGATCTTTAAGGTCCATTCCAACTCCTTTAACATTCTAGGATTCTATGATTTTTGTTAAGGTTGCCTGTTTTTTTCCAAGTATAAAGCTTTATGGAAATAAGCACTGGAACTCAAAAAAAAAAAATAAAAATTGCTGTGTCATTTCTAAATGAAGGGATTAAAAAAAGACAAAAGCCTATGCAGGAGAATGGGGGTGAATAGTATAAGTGCTTATGTTCATTTCAGAAATCATGAGGTCTGAGGTCTGTATAACAGTGAACTTATAGGGAAGGTATGAGGGAAGAGATCTAAAAGTAGATTTTAATTTTTTTTTCATTAATACTGTTTTACTGGAGCAGTATTACAACAGAGATCCTGATTATATCTGTCTTATTTCTGTTAAAAATATTTTCTTCCCTGTCCCATGGAAAAGCTACTAGATAGATGTTTAGCCTTTACTGAATTAGTCCCTCATGTTTTTTTAATAATGTTCTAATAATATAAGAAAAAAAAAAACTTCAAGTCAAAGTGCAAGCCACCATCTTTCAGCCCTTCATAAACGTGTTAATATTTTTCCTCATTCATCTTCACTTATTTTTTAATATAAAAGTTGAATGAGTTTAGTCCTTCCACCCCCACTGTACACTCAAATCAGTAGATCCTTCCTCTACTCAGCCCAAATGAATTTGGAAGTTTGTTTTCAAAATAATCATAGAAATACAATACTTTTAAACTGTCCTGTTTCTACGTGACCAGAAGCAATGAGCAAATCTAAACTACTAGCCTATTATTGTAACAAGAATTCCTCTGAATAAGTAGCAGAGAATATTTCAAAGTTTTTAAAAGTAATGTAAAAGGTAATTTTTCAAGTTTTATTTAGCTACAATAACCTTTCTATGATTGCACTGTAAACTGTTCCAGCTCATTTATTAAAGGAACAAACTTCATATTCCAAAGCCCACTCAGTGAAGCTAAGAATATGAAAAAATATTATAGAAAAGTTTATTGATTTCAAGTGGGAAAACTGATCATTGAGTTCCTTCCTACAATAATTCTAGAATTCTTCTAGGCTATTCAGGCTCTTGGACGCCAGTATGAACTCCTATGAGCATAATCAACCTGAGAAGCACAGTTAGTGGAAAATTCCCATCATAACTAACTGCCAGCATTTTTAATGCTGTATGTAACTTAGTCTTGTTTTAATCTGACCTTCTGAAATGAAGGTTCACAATAACATGACTTGAGCCAGACTCTCGACAAGAAGACTCTCGACAAAAGTCCTCTTACTTAAGCTGTGGTCAGGGATTCCAATGTCACTCCTGCTAGTAATATACCATAGCTGGAAAAAAGCCCCCAACAATATATATCATCAGGGCTTAAAAATGGGGTGGGGGAGAAAGAGGAGAAGATGAAGATTTTATCTTCAGGTACCATGTACTATTTCAAGTACCACGTAGGAAAAAGGCAGCAATAGGAAACTTGAAGATAATTTTACCCACAGAAAACAATTAAAAATATATCTATAAACACAAAATTTCAGTACTTAAAATGCTGCTATTTTGCTTGCTTCTCGAACCCCACTCAAGTAAGCTCCTGTAACTGTCTGAGGAAAGTGCCTATTTGTGGCCTGTATTAAAAAAAAAAAAAAAAGAAAAAAGTTATTTGTTTCTAAAACTATTAGAACAGGATATTTATATACTACCTCTAGGTTAATGGTGTTGATTAGCAAAACACGATCTTCCATAAGAAGCTGCTCCCCGATAACCTTAATTGCCAGTAGCAAAGATACTTACCTCACCAGCAAAAAAAACTTTTCCTTGTATGTCTTCAGCTATAATGTCATAAGCTTCCCCGCTGCCCCCTGTTTTCACAAAGCTGTATGCCATCTGGAGCCAAGGGTCGTTGCTCCATCGAGTAACAAAAAACTTCACTGGGTCAGGAACCTCCTGCATAATCAACACAGAAGTTAAGCACTGCAAAGAAAAGTTCATAATTGCATA